TCCGCCGCCGTGCATCGTAAAGTTTGCGCGCGTGTTCGTTAGTTTGTAAATTTTACGGGTGTGCGAGCATCGTGTTTTTTTTCTCAGGTACTATACGAGGGCAGCTGTGTTGATTTTCCAAATATGTGCGACGTGACAAACGGTAGCTTTGAATTTTTGTTTCGGAGAGAAGTTGTAATTTAATTTTTAAGTGGCTGTAGTTGAGTACAAATTAAGTACATAGACGGTTTTTCAGTGATCGGATAAAAAGAAATACAGAAGCATGGGAATATCGTGTCATTTTGCTAACGAGCCGTATGAAAAAAAAAAAAAAAAAATCGCATGAACAACTACTTTACAGTGGTTAGACGACGAACATAAGCTTTTATCTTTAATTATAGCTTTAAAACATCCTTATTTTTGTTTGTATTCTGACAGCACTACATTAATTCCCCATAATAACATGTATTATAACGTTATAAAGCACTAAACTTGTCTTTACTGAAGAAACGAAGCCTGCTGACTTCGGACTCATACATATTTTTATGTAGGGCTGTCGCTTGAAAAGTGTGTGTATACATTTTGGTGGGAAAAAAAAGATGTATTTTCAGGTATGCTTGCTATTTGAATGATGGTTATGGTCAACCGAAAGCGAAGAGCTGCCCAAGTCCTCACAAAAAGGCCGATTTTTTTTCGAGATTTCTTGAATCATTTTGAAATATTACAAAGACTAAGTCTTTATATGTGACTTCAAATGTCTTTTGCAGTATTTTTTCATTCAAAATGAAAGTTCGAGTATGAGCAAAGGAAACAATTCCGTTTAAAATTCCAATTTTTTTTTCTACATGAGATTCACGTGTTAAAAATCGATAATACAGTAATCTTGGGTTTTTTTGCCTCTATACACACTTATCTTGTACATGAATTTTTTTTTTATCTCGTAGAATCACTATGAGCCTCGAAACTCACACAATCTTGAACAAAAAAAAAATTAAAATCAAAGAAAAACTGAGCGTAAAAAAAAACACCCAGCAGTGTTGTGGCACACGCGACAAAAAAGAGCACGGACGACGAGAATGAACAAGATATCTCGCAAATTTCGCAAAAAAAAATCCTTAAAACATCTTTCTCGCATCAGTCGTAGCACAGAATTTTCTCTCATTTGTATATACATCCTCTCACACGCTGCAAATTTATAAAATTCATCACTCGCATCCCGCCACACATTAATTTCTAACGCCGAAAACGAATGGGAATAAAAAATAAAAATACAAAATAGAAGCATGGAAATGTAGGTCAGATATAAGCACGATTACTTTCATAAATTCCTAGACGGCGTGTGCATACAGATCCGCAGATACAATGTTATGTATACGAAACGAAGCGAGAGAAGAAAGGACGGAAAAGGAGCGACCGGCCCCTCTTAGTGTGCCAACCAATGTTTATATCTATACATTACACAAGGTTAAAGGCAGCAGCCCACGTACATCGAGAATAACGTAAAATCGTTGAACATATTTTTTTGTTATTTTCCAACATGTGCTACAATGAACTTGATGCACCTATACATTTAATTCCGGGAGAATTTTACTTTGCAACCATAGACACACTTCCGATGATATCGTTATGTTGTGATTTTTTTTTTTTAATTTACAGACGTATTGATTAAAAAATAATCACACTGATATCATACCCTCATCGGCTGCATATATATACTACTTACGATGCTCGTTTCTTTTTTTTTTCACGCTCCATTCCCGATACGGTAAGACATGTATTGTGTGTGCACATAAGCTGTTGCTGCAACGATTTGCAGTGTGGCGGGTAAGTATACATCTGATGTAAGGCTCTAGAATTGCGGAATTGCATAAGAGACCGTACACGTGTATATGTAACGTAGTTCTACTCTCGGTTCTACTTGGCTATGCTTTTTTTTTTTTTTTTTTTTCAACCATCAACTAAGCGGGAATCGAACTGATTGTTGCATTACAGGCGTTTGAGTTTTGAAAAACCATTTCGTCAAAATGAGCTTATCGAAAATGTTTTTTTCGTTTTTTTGGTTGGTTGGGTTCAAAAGCTATATAGTGATAGCGTATACACACCGGAACGCATCGGAATAGATAAGTCATCACTGGGAGCGCGACGTGAGTACATGTTTAAGGGAATGATCTCACGTGCAGTAAGTGTAGACACTTTGTACATTTATAAAAAAAAGGGGGGTGAGGAGGAGATTTCCTCGATACATGTGCGTCTTTGCGGTTGTTACATATCGAGACATGCCAAAAAGATCAAGAGATGCCCTCGTATATATATGTATGTCTGTTAAGCTATATAGTCTTTTGTCACTTGGCGGGGTTATAAATAATTCGTGGACGAGAGCAGGTGAGCGATTATTTTTTGGCCTCACTTTTGGCACCTAATAATCCTCCGAAACATCAACATTGTACAAGCGAGCAAGAACATATTATATTATTATTCCCCTGTACCCAAAGATTTTTAGTAAAACGACTGCGCATTACCATGGGAGTAGCAATCATTTCCCTCGATCTTTTGCACCCCCATGACGTCACTTCACTGAAAAAAATCAGGCTGTACATGGAATAGGTACGCGCCGAGGGGAAAAAAAGAGACATCAATTGGACTCTCAAAAAAAAGAGAGAAAACAATGCGCGCGTGTCTGCGGCCGGCAAGAGAGAGAGAGAGAGAGGATGAAACATCGTGGTGGGAGTATTGTAAAGCATTGACCTATACAGCTCCGTATTATAACAACGTCTCTTGAAAAAACTGAGACACCCCAACGGTGGAGTAAAAGATTCAATTTTCTTAAGACAAGCAAGTGCATTAAATTTTTCTGAGCGAAAAATATCCCTGCAAAGGACAGATCTGGACGTTTTGTCCTATACGCTCTGAAGATGTATACACCGAAAGAAATAGTCGATTGAAGATTGTAGATCACTACCGAAGAAAAATCGGATGATTCGATAAGCCGAAAAAAAATCGGACGTTCGAAAACGCTAGTTGTTGCGTGCAACGTGCAGCACCAACCACGCCTGACTGAGAATCGCGATCGAGTGTAGGATTTTATTAATAAACTCTGCCCGCACTGCTATGCTTCTGCTAAACTATATAAATATATGCATCATCATCTACCGCAGAAGGAGGAATTTTCGGAGCATTCGATCTGCCTTACGATGTGCGCTCTTCCATCATCGCCAGACGTAATTACTAATTAGACGTTTTTTATTTGGTAGGTATTTACTTTCCCTCCCTTTCTACAGTTGATTTTCTGCAAAACGTTATTTTTGGTCATACACGAGAAACGTATTTATCGAGCATTGCAATTCATTTAAAAGCAGACCAAAATTTTGCGATTCACCGCGAGTTGACACAAAAACACGAGGTTTGTTGTTGTGCAAACACGCGTGCCAACGTCGACTGCTCGTTTTCAACAATATTCCTCCGTTACAACCGTCACGGTGGCATAACGGCGAAGTTGTAGAAGTGTCGTCCATCATAGCGAAGTTAAGCAGCATTCGGGCGCTGTTTCGTTGTTGATTTCGAGGATCGATTGATGGTTTCTTTATCGCTTTGACAATGTGAACGGGAGGTAATATGCAGGAGTCAGTCCTAGTGTGTTTATACGTAGACATTCGGTTGGATGTTTAGATGTTCTGATATCACTGACTACCCCCCCCCCAGCCCTTTCCCAAGTATCAAGCGCCGCAAAAAAGGTCGCAGTTCCCGATGTTTGAAAAAAAAAAAAAAAAAATTGCTCCAAAATAATAAGTACAAGTGCAACTCACGTGGGTGGAGGTGAAAAACAATTTCGCACAAAGCTGCGCCTAAAAAGCGAGGAGAAATAAAAAAAAAACGTGTACCAGCAAAATCAATCGTACGCATAAGTGCGGCACTGGAAATAGAGGCCCCTCTCTCGAGGCCAACACAATACGCAAGAGCATATTATACACACTGAAATTGTTTCACGCTGTGCATATCCATACAAATGTGCACTGCACACAAAATAAATATAGGTACACAGTAAAAATAAAAAAAAAAAATTTTACTACCAACGTGAGAAATAATGCATTATTTTCAGATATAAATATATCAGATGTCGCATTATATCCATTGTAGTAAAATTACAAAAAAAAAATATTTACTGTGTAGTGCGAATCAGTGTGACGTTTGCAAAAGCAAATTAACCCACCTATGAAAATGTGGCAACAACATCATGCAGCCACGGAGAAGAATAAGAAAGCGAGAAGAGAAGAGAGAGAGAGAGAGAGGGAGATAACGCGCTTCTGTGCAACTCTTTTAAACATTCGCATGTGAGAGCTCTCCCGCACACAAATGTTGGGTGCTGCTGCAGCTCTCTGCTACTTCACTTGCCCGCAACATAGTAAACAGTAAATACAAGCGTCTATATGTGCGTTTCGTGTGTGCGTGTGTGTGTACATTTGCGTTTGCTTTTATTGCAAGATGTGTGCATTGCAAAAAACATGATGGCCGCTTGCGATTTGGTTATTGCCCCTCCCTCTCACTATGAGTTATCATCGCTATCAGCCGATGTCTTGCGTTGACTCCAAAATGAAAAGTGCAGGGAAATGATCGTCAGAGGAATTTTCGTTTCAAGTTTCGAGTGATCCGAGAGAGATGATATAGCTTTGAGAGCCCCTTGCGCCCATCGAGCGCGACCAACGAAACACGTACATATATATATATACATATACACATGAATTATGGCGAGAGAGGGAGGGAGAAAAGACGTGGGAAGGGAGAACAAAAGAGGGGAGAAAAAGCAGATGTGTGCGTGTGTATGTATGGAGCAAAGGAAAAAAAGGACGGAGCGAGAAACATGGCGGCTCGCTCGAGTTGTTTTCGCGCTTTTCGCGGCGCAAACCTGGCTGGTTTGTCAGCCAGTGAATTGAGAAATTAAAAAATAATATGTACATAGAGAAAAATGATAAAACAACAGGAGATGCAAAAGAGTACGAAGAGGAAGAGACGCTCGATCTACTCACCAGGGCAAAGAAGTTGGTGTGGCAGTCCTCCAAGCTGGCGCCGTTGGTCTGATGCGAGGGGTGCATCATGGCTTCTCCTCCATCCTCTCGTCGGCACTGCAAATTCCTCCTCTCTTATATTGTATCTCGGTCGATGTTAATGCCCGTCAGCGGTGTGCCTCTTCTCGTTTTCTTTATTTTGTTTATTTACTCAATTTTTTTTCTTCTTTTTTTTGTTTCTTTTCGTCAACAAAAAATTGTTATCTACACCCACACCGATCTTCCTCCTCATCTTCTGTCCTCTTGTTGTTTTTCTTCATATTACCTTTGGTGTACACTTTTGTGACTTTCTTAATAATTATACAAACGAAAAGACCGTAATAAGTGGCTCACTACTTTTGTATACAGAACACGACACAGATACACTCGCACACATATGCAGCTTTAGAGGCAGGAGGAGGGGGGGGGCAACTTGTTTGACCCCTTTGAATTTTTTTATCTCTCTCTAGTGCACAGCCTCTTCCTTATTTATTTCACTTATTATTTTTGCTCTTTTTCTCTCTCTCTCTCTGCACAATGCATCATTTTCTTGTAACATGTGTAACATGATTTACATGTCTCGAGTATAACTCACAATATTGACGACGAAGAAAAAATAAACAACGAAGCAACTGAAAGATAAAATGGAGCAGTATGGATCTCGAGGACACTAGTACTGTACTGCACACATGTTCCCGGTTCGTCGTCGCGTTATATCGTTGCACCACATCCACAACAGGGACCTTCTCTTCTTAATTTGGATTAAAAGGATAAACAGCAAACGGATGTATAATATGTACACAGAGACACCCACACACGCACGCACACATACACACACTGCACGCGCGCACGTAACGTTAACGTTATCTCCTCCCTTTTAAATCGTTAATTAAATGTCAGAATACGTAAGTATATACGTATACACGGTATATACAGAGCGTTAAACAATTCGAGGACAGTCAGCAGCCAGACAGACGCGATAGAAAGAGGAGAGACGCGCTGAGCTACTGCTGCACTATACACTGCTGCTGCTGCTGCTGCTGGCTGCGGTGTTTCTCCCCGACGAGGGGGGCTCTCCCACACCACCGCTGGCGGAAAGTAAGGTTAGGTGCTGTCCGTGTGTCGCCCGCATCCAGACGACGATGATGCTGTATACGTCGGTACACCCAAACGGAACTTCATCACGGAAAGCGATGAAGCGTACAGAGTTACACGGTCAATGAGATAACGAGTAACGAGAGAAGAGAAAGCCGGCTCTCCTGGGCGGTGTGTGAACTAATTGTTCCTTTAGGGGAAGTTCAGCCGCAACGCTGACAACGTTATCCGGGTGACGCGACTCGCGCCACTATACGGCGCATTTTTACTCCACTCGATCTCTCTATTTCGGAGCTGCTACAGTTGCGGTATATGTGTACAGTATACACAAACTCTCTACTCTCTCTCTCTCTCTCCGTTCTATACATGCATAGGTATCCTAACACACTTTACGTCTGCCTATAGTGTCCTGAGCTACTTCTCACTGGTGGGACGTCGTCGACGACGAAAATTGATCCGTTTACTTCCGCTCGACGTCGACGACAACTAATTGAACCCGATATATAGAAACAACGACTGTAAAATGGCGGATGCGCACCACCAGGAGGGATCTAGCAGCCGCCGACGTATACTTCACTTTTGCCTTTTCCTGATAATTTATCCTACAGATGGATATACAATATACATATAATATATACGTATACCATCAGCATATATTATGTGCATTGCATACATTTTATGTGTTAAGTTTTGCGTTCTGCTGTGTTGTTGCTGGATCTGGAATTTGCAGGATGCCGTTGTGAATTCCGCTTGCCGCTGAGGCGCTGAGGCCAGACTCGGCCAGAGCAGCGAGGCATAAGTATGAGCTGAGCGTATGAGGTTGAGGTGCCTTTTTTACGTGCTGTTAAGGTGTATTTTCATGGAACTCCTAGCAAACAGCGACGACCCGGGGTCGACTGTAATCTGTATGATTGATAAACATTACGCATTGATTGAGGGAGTGGAGCCTAGCCACTTGACGCTGCTGTCCAAACGCCCCATAAAAACGTACCTTTATCTTACTCTGTAGCTCTTCAGCTTTTCAGCTTCAACCGCTTCAAGATCGAATTTTACTTCAAGCTGATGCCACAAATGGTTATTCAAATTTTGGGTAAAGCAGGGTAAAGTGTTTTAAAAAAAGGCAGTGGCGCCAAAATTTGGATAGAAGCAAGTAGATGTTCGATGAAATAACAAAATTATACCGAGTTCAAGATGATTATTAGAAAATGATTTACGAATGGTACACGTTAACGAGTATTTATTATGATGTAATGGTGTTTAACTCATTACTGAACTCATCGTTTTTTGTGTGAGAGAACTCACTATTTCTTTGAGTTTTTGAACCAACGTTGTTGACGTGACTGCAACACAGAGATATAATACCTATGGACTGCAACCAGTGCAACCGATTTTGACATACTGCGCACCATCTGTTGGATACCAATGAAATTAATTTTTTTATTGCTTTATAGCTTTTTTAGCTTTACCAAAGCACATGGAGAAATCTGAGTTGAACTTTTTTTCGCCTGGACCGTCGATATTGGATACTTAGAGCACGTTTATTAACTAATTTTTATTTATTTATCGTTTTTTAGACCTTTAAAAGATTTTTTTAATTCATGCTCGAGAGCAAGAGATGAAGAGGAGGGATATTAACTGTATTTTGTTACAAAAAGTACGTTTAGATGCCAAAAACAACTATATCGAACAGATGGTTTTTTTTCCGAAATTTTATGACATCAGAGTTGTTATTCTATAAATAATACAGAAAGTGTATAAACCTACACGTATACGTACACTTTTGTAAACTGACAAATAAAATATGTTTTTAGCCAATTTGATGTTTTTGTTAATGATTTTGTCAATCAAGTATGAATAAAGTATTTTCAAAGTACGGGTAGATATTTAACTTTTTGATTGTAAAATTTCGTCAGTGACACATCAGCGTAGGTTTAAAACTCGCGCCAAATACCCAAATACGGATTCCGAATTTCCGAAAATGCTTATCAACAAATATATATTTGATTCATTAGACATTGTATTAGATGAAATCTTACATTTAAACTATTGTATCATCAGATGTTATGTATATGGAAAAAAAGCGTATTAGCCCCTACTCCCACGCAAACATCACAAACACCGGCAACACTAGGTTCGTTCAGGCCCCCCCCCTTGGTTCGGTTCGGTTCTGTTCTGGGACCAAAAAACATAAAAAAACACACGTTTACGAGAGTTGGTTCCAGAACCAAAGGTCCGAAGCGGTCGGTTCTAGAACCAATCTCTCGTGAACGCGTGTTTTTTTATGTTTTTTGGTCCCAGAACCGACCGAACCGAACCGAACCAAGGGTTGGCTTGAACAAACCTACTGTCGAAAAACATGTGACTCCAAAACATATATTATGCTTAAGCAGTAAACAAGTACAAGTTGTGGCATTGTGATTTACTTCTTCTCCGAGGCAATAACATGGCTGCACTAACGAGATATGCTCAACACATCACAAGAAATATGCCACTCTTCACTGATACCACAGTCAGTTTTTTAATTTTATTTTTATTCGTATTTTTGTATCTTCGGCTTTAAATGTCACACTGATGTCAACATAACCTTACTTGTATCTTGTAAACAAAGTTGAATGTGTATTTATTATAAGTAGGATATGTACGATTAACTACAGTGTTATTATTTGTTTTTCATCTGTTCTCAGAACTTGATGGTGGTTCCAGTGCGGTGCATAAACAAATTTTTTAAAAAGCCATGTCAAAAACCAAAGAAAAAACCGACGATTGATTCGATAATGTCGTCAATCGAGGCCAAAGGGTGAGTACTCTTAAAAAAACATGATCAATTTAGTACTTTACTTTTTTTGTGTTGTTTTTATGTAAGTAGTATATATTCGTAAAAATCTAGCACCTTATGTACAATAATTCCTAACTTGCTTATTTATAAATACACTATACTCATAATAATACTCATAATGGTTTTTGATAAGTGAGAAATTTTTGGCAACATTTTGTTTTCGACTTAAACAGAACCACGTTATCTCTCAATAGGGATAGTTTGCAAACATGAAATTGCTTCAGCAAAATATCAAAATATTTTATTGTGATAAAATAATGCTATTCTCAATATTTAAACTTTTTAAGTATGTGCAATCCAGCAGCTCTGCAAAACACGCTTTTCTGGCAGTGCATTAATTATTTGCGTTACGCGAAAACGAGCAGTTTTGTGGGTCAATGCTTTATAAAAGCGACATTGAGATAACTGAAAAGATTATTTTTTCGTTTCGAACTCAAAAGTTGGTCGGTGATTCAATCTCTTTTTTTTTTTTTCTTTTCAAACAAGTGTACAGAAGCCTATAATGACTTTTCCACAATCGTTGCGAGATAGTACGAGTATATATAAACAAAGGAGTTTTTTTTTCAATGGCTGTTATTTTCTCATCATTATGCCATTACCCGACAAAACACATATTCTCAGTGACCCAAACATGGATTCATGTATATGCTTATCACTTCTTACGTAACCAAGTAATGTACACAACTAAAATAATGATTTAATAATGATGATGAATTTTAATGACAATTTGTTTTTGTATGCCTTTATTTATATTTAATAGCTTATTACTTGTTACACTCCAATAATATCCAGTATACAACCAGTGACCCAAACATGGATTCATGTATACGCTTATCACTTCTTACGTAATCAAGTAATGTACACAACTAAAATAATGATTTAATAATGATGATGCATTTTAATGACAATTTGTTTTTGTATGCCTTTATTTATATTTAATAGCTTATTACTTGTTACACTCCAATAATATCCAGTATACAACAAGTAACTAGAAAATAATTCTTGAAAACCAGAAGGAATCGCTGATACTGGACAGCATTTTCCGGACTGTTGTTTGAATACTAAAGCACACGCGTACGAAAAAACGGCGCCAAAGTGATAATTGAAAGTAAAAATACCCGAGATTGTATAAAACTAATTTCATCCTTACCCTCTGCTTTCGTTTATGCGAACAGGTGACGAATTTTTATTTACTCAACTACGATAAAATTTTACTTAAATACTTAGTTTTAATTACCGAATAATCACGTAGAAAAGTTATCGCGAGAACAATCAATGAAATAAAAAAAAAGAGAGAAAAAGGTGAAAAATTCTAAGAATAGCCCACACCTTGAGACATTCGTCTTAACGCCAGAGAGGGCTGAAAGTGGCGAGTAAAAGTATCGGCCAAGGGTGGTGACGTTAACTGGCAAAGTGGAGAAAATAAAAGTTGCGGGTGTAGTTTCCTTTTCGCATAGACAAGGCAGAGCTGGTATACACCCTCGCTCGTGCCTTTTTTTTTAAACACCCGATAATTTATTGTTTTCTTACTGATACGTACATTTTTTTCTTTGCACTACCACAATTAATCGGTTGATTCATTTTTTTGAAACCAAAGCTCATTGTAGTAAAATACTATAGCAGTAATAATAGCGTTTGTTTGGTAGTGTGACAATCGCAATAATATTCTTATTTACTTTTTGAAAAAAAAGCGCCTAAATCAGTTTCTTTGCTTTTGACAATCGTAATATAGACGGAGGGGAGCACCACCATCAGGCGTGTACAGAAAGACGTAGGGATATAGGCACACCGATAACCAGAGCTACCCCCGTATTATATCCTTGCGCCGTTTCTTCCCTCCGCCTGTGTTGTTCGAAACTATCCCCGCCCCTTCTTAACTCCGAACGGAGGCGATATACGTATGCAAATAAGAAAAAAAAAGTTTCCGACGCGTAAACGTTGACGTAGAGGAAGCAGCATAAAAATAGGTACGGCAAAATCGATGATACCAGCTTGTATGCATCGTAGTATTGTACACCGCATAATATGTACCCACGGAACTGAAAAACTGAAATCCCTAAAATCTTATATAATGGCAGGTATCCATAAAAATCAACAAAAGACGCGTTTTTTAAACCATATGGAACCTACTACAATTTTGAATTCTGACGCTGTTCGTAGACCCATGCCATGGAAAGGGAAACAACAGTCAAAAATTATTGTTTCAGAATCGCTTGATTAAATTTCTTTTTTGACTCTTGGTAATTTTTACCGTCTACATGTAAAAGTTACCGTTAAAAATTATCAAAAATACATTGCCATCGATTTATAGTTCTAGAGCAGTAACTTTTGTTTTCTATCCATTCGGTGGGCAAATAAGTGGACTTAAAAGAAAGGTATTTCCGAGGCAACGGAAAAATCTCGGTTTAACTTACGGGGTAGAATTGAGCAGCAAATAAAGGGCTGTTCTTCCGACAAAGCCAGGCGGTGGGATGTATAAGCCAAACAAGGGAAAGCGCGTGTACAGTAAAGAGTAGACACTGAAAAGTGCAAGATGAGTATAGGGTCGAGTTGAATTGCGGAGAAGACAAAAAAAAAAAAAAAAAAAAAAATCATCCAATTGACGTGAAATAATAAACATTTCAATTTTCCAGGTTCTTGCGACCGTATAAACCGTACCAGCCACCTAAAGACGTTGCCGAGCGAGTGGATCGGATTTGCCTCTCGGAAAATGTAAACAGCGACAAAGATACTCGCATCGACGACCTACTCTTGAGATTCAAGTTGTTCACCAAGTGCATTGCTGAATTTGATTACAGCATCCCCAACTCGAGGCTCGTCGAAATTAAAACCATTGGTACGAGACTAAATTATTATTTCGCTTGAGTTTCATATTATATATATAT